GAACTGGAAATATGAAAAAACAGAGGCTACTTTTAGTGAAAACCAGATGTTTACACACACAAAAAAAGTGGATTTATATGCAAAAATCTAATGATTTTATCCGGTCCTCCTGGCTCATGATCGTTAGTACGATACCCAGAGCTGTCAATGACAGGCACATTTTCAGCACAGACACAGGTACGCATATATGCGGTCCCATAGAAGAAGGCACATCTCTATCTGGCAGCCCATGCTGATAGGTTCTGTGGGGAAAGGGTTAAAGTATATCCTGATAGGTTCTGTGGGGAAAGGGTTAAAGTATATCCAAAGCAAAAACCTTTATTTCCCCCTTTTATTTTGGATAGGGTACGAGAGGGTTAAAAATACAGTCAGTTTTATTCGCCATTGGTGTCTTTTCATGGAGATTTCACTTCCTGTCCTGTAGACTCAACAGGAAGTGAGAAGATATCTTTCCAATGTGAGGGATCACCTCTTAGTTGTCATGGGAGTAATTGTTTCTATTGGAAGCTGTATTCCTGTTCTGGTAGCAACTTAAAGTTTTGGAGATCAGGGCAATTAGAAGCTGTTTCAGACGCATCAGAAAGCTGCAAAAATCCCACAATAAGTGAAGCAGGAGCAGGGAGATGCTTGCACTGCACATCCTCCGGTGCAGCTTCCTCTCCAGCAAGGAGAACAGCCAGCGGCATCATCACCAAATCTCCCTCCAAACCTGGTGAGAATAGCAGTCAGAGGTAGCAGAGTCCTCGATGATCAGACAGTGCAAATATACAGCTAGGAGGCTCAAGGCGTGCCGGCTGTTTTTTAGGAGGAATTCAAAACAATTGCAAACTTTAAATCTGTCAGGGTGCTGCTTAGGCACAATTACCATTTCTATATGGGGTGTGTGGGATCAAGTTGCTGCTCTTTACAGTAAGAATTACTTAAATATTCCTGAATTTTGTACTCCAATTCAGTCACCTGATGGCATTGCAGAAATGCTGAAGAGTGGTTAAGCATAATTTAAAGCTCAAGTGCTCCCCAAGCGTTAATGCTTTTTTCTCCTGATGTCTTCTAGCCAGTCGCAAGACATGTACGTCTTCTTTGGTCGTCTCCCAGTTAAGGATAATCCTAAATGATGCTGAGAGCAGCATTGACGTGACAACCTCAGCACCGCTCTCTCCAGCAGTAGATTGAGTCCAGGTCGTGCTTAGGGGGGTGAGCCCATGATGCCCTGCAGTCTTTCCTCAGGCTGGGTTTAATTTTAAACCCAGCCTGAGAACATCTTGTGGCAAAATAGGTAACGTCTGGGACAGCTTCAGATTTAAAGTGAATATTACAGCCAGAGATTACGTTTAGAAACTGGCTGGGGGGGGCATTATAAAAGAATTTGAAGTGATTACAGATAAGGGGCTGTCATTGATGTTTTCTTCCTTAATGAGTATGGAAACCTTAAATACCACTTTGTGGATCTACAGTTGAGTGATGCGCAGATAAGCCGCCTTTTTTAATAGTTAAGGTACTTGAATGCGTTTTTGAGATTTAACTCCTGAGTTTAGGGTCACTTTAATACTAAAGTTCTATAAATTCATTACTCTGCCCATACGAACTGTTGTGTATTGTCCTTTAATTTATGCAACTCCTTAGCAGCCATTATCTGGTGATCCTGCCAGTCCCCCTCTCTTCCTGGAGCTTTCCGACCACGCTAAGCAGAGGAGCAGATCCATGCTGGTGTGGTCAAATTGTGTCCCTTAACTCCTCCTAGGAGCTATAGGACGTGGTGCCTGTACCCCCGTAGTATGTTAGGCTGACATGCCTCCTGCTCTTTGAATTGGTAGCAGGTTCAAGCAGGAACCTTGCTTTCAAAACCGCAGCTTCACATTGCAGTTGAGCTGCCTACTGTCCATGTAACCACACTCATAAAGAAAGACAGAGAGCCCATATGGATACATGACCGCTGAATAAGTGTAAATTACACAGTAAAGAAATGCTATTTTGAATGTAGTGTCTCATAGCATTTTTTTTTTTGTACATGTTCCAGCATTTCCTGGCTGTCATACTCTGGCCTCAGTATTTTCTGAGTCACTGACCCAAAACATGTATGCAGATGTAGAGTTCTGACTTTACTCTTTCTCCTCTGATTTGCATATTTGTACCTGGCCAGCGAAGACAATAAGACGACAAGGAAATTTGCATTTTTAGGAGGTCAGCAGTGGCAGCCTTGGCATTTCTCGAACGACAGGTTTCCTTCCAGGACTGTGTTTCTAGCAGCTTCTCATTTAAGTTGTCTCTGAAAACAGTTGTAAGTCCTTTTCTTGACAACAGTTCTGTTGGTGGCTGGGTGCTTGTCAGTGAAATCCGGCAGTCATAGAATAGTAAGCAGAGTAGGGAATCTTCTCATGTAAAGGGAATGTTCCCAGGTGTTTCCAGGGTCATTGACGCTGGAAGCTTGGGACGCGTACCATTGGTTTGAGAAATGTTCACACTGCTGGTTTACTTCCTTAAGCAGCTTCTTATAGACGTGGCAAGTGATACATTCCGATTCTTAATTATTTTTTTGTTGCCAGGTTAAAATCCCAAAAGAAAGGAGGAAGTGGATCCTCGCAGCCCTGCGACAACATTGTGGTGGCGTATTACTTCTGTGGAGAGCCCATTCCCTACAGGACCATGGTGAAGGGCCGCATAGTGACCCTGGGACAATTCAAGGAGCTGCTTACGAAGAAAGGAAATTACAGGTACACTTTGGCCTTTCACAGAATGTCGATAGCAGCCTTTCCCTTTTTCAAGTTTTGGGAAACCGCTGGTAAAAATGATTGTAGAACAACCTTTGGTAAGATAATGCGATGAGTAGATCATAGAAAGTTTTACATTAAATAATGAAGTGGTGTGGTGTGCTTAATGTTTTTGACACCCAAGGCAGATCATTTTAACACCCCCTGCTCTGTGCAACACAATTATTTTTAGTATTATTGTTGAAATTAATAATAAAAGATAAAAACACATTTACAATTGTTTCCAGGCATTACAGGGATGGTGAGCGTAGAAGTGTCCCCTTATGTGGTTAGTCACAATTATCTGGACTGAATATTGAAGACATTTCCTAGCTTCTTAGTTCTCATGAGTGTCAGGAACATACCCCAGTATTTATTTCCACACAACACAGAATCCTTAATCCAATCCCTGTGGAATGTGAACGTTGCAGAACCACCCTGGTCTATGTCTGTGAAGGTTCTCATTCATCTCTCTGGGCAGGTTATTAACACCTAACTCCGATTATGAAAATCCAATCAACACCTGGTTGTGACTAACAGATTATGTGGATTGGAACAACAGTGACCATATTTATTCCCAGATAATTTTTGGTGCAAATCATTCTGAATTGAGCTGGTTGGATGACCAGTAAAACGTCATTTTGAGGGATCTTTGAGCCCCAAAACACATTGGATGTTCTATGTTGTTGTTTTGAACCCAATACCTGTATGAAGAGCTTTTGGACTCTCCAACTGTTTGGTGCTCCCATTAAACTTTATACTTGTGAATCTTCAAATCTGGGTCCCTTGTTTGAGGGGCACCCTGTTTGTAGAGAGTGGCCCCACCAGAGCCATTGGGCCTTATCACATTCGGACCAATCTTCTGATCATTTGATTCTGGCCCCTTTGTAGAGATTGACCTCACTAGAGCCATTGAGCCTTCTCGTATTCGGACCAATCTTCTGATCATTTGATTCTGGCTCCATTGCAGAGAGCGACCCCACTAGAGCCATTGAGCCTTCTCGTATTCGGACCAATCTTCTGATCATTTGATTCTGGCCCCTTTGTAGAGAGCGGCCTCACCAGAGCCATTGAGCCTTCTTGTATTCGGACCAATCTTCTGATCATTTGATTCTGGCCCCTTTGTAGAGAGCGGCCTCACCAGAGCCATTGTGCCTTACCACGATCTGTCCAACCTTCTGATAATGTGAAATCTAATGCCTCATCCCTTCTTGTTCCAGAACACCATTTTGATAACAGGCTTCTTTTACTATTTGCAGGTATTACTTTAAGAAAGTAAGTGACGAATTTGATTGCGGAGTGGTATTTGAAGAGGTGCGAGACGAGGACACTGTTCTGCCCATCTACGAAGAGAAGATTATCGGCAAAGTGGAAAAAATCGACTAGGCCGTCCAACAACACAGAAATGCTGTGCGCAAGCTGACTTGAAGATGTTAAATAAAATGCTGGAGATAGACAATGTCACAACAGCCCCCTTGCTGTCATGATTGGCGGTGCCTGTTTGTGGAAGGGGATATCACCGCAGAGGCGGTCTTGAGTCCGTTCAAGAGAACCTGTCTAAGTCCGCACTGTCCTCCTTGGAGGCTGCAGTCCATGTAATGTAGCAGTGTACAGTTAAAGCTAGAGGTTGTTCTAGAACCTTGTTTATGAGAGCTGCATATTTTTGATACATTGAAATTTTAAAAAATGGAAAAAAAAAGAAAAAAAAAGCGGGAAGTTAATTTTCCGATGTCAGTGCTCTTATGTAAATTCTTAAATGCTATGGTGCTGCGGTCACCGAAAAGCTTCAGCCATTGCAAAAGGTCGATCTACCGAAGGTGAACCAGGTCCCCTCCTCATTGTTTGCTAACACTTTTTTAAATTTCAGAATCATTTCCAGTGTTCACTTTTCCCACTTAAGTTTATTCTGTACGATTCCAAAAACACTAGGATTGCTTTCAAATGTCGTGCACGCTCGGCCTGGCGGAGGGGCGCGTTGGTACTGTCCTGTAAGGGTGCCTGGTTTATTTTACAGAATGTTTTCTTACTAATATAAATGCTATGTGGATCTTTTTTTTTTTAAAGAAAAGAAATATATTATTGTGGAAAAAACTTTTTGTTTTCTAGATTCATTTTTAAAAGCTCTCTTAAAGTGACTTCTATGAGCAGTTTGTGAGCGAAACAAAATCGTGGCTAACGTGCGTTTTTACATGTCAGCCGCATGTAGAATCCATGTTTCAGTGGGTGTCTGTAGTTCCTCTCGCCGTCACCGTCCTCTCACAAGGCTGCTACAAAGGTTCCCCTAAATTAAATTAGTTTTTCCCACTTATTATTATGAAATGTAGGAAGTGTGCAAATATCACATGACTGCCACTAAAGGCCAATATTGGAAGGTCTCACCATTGCAACCTGAGAGGGGTTTTGGAAACCAGCCGTGAAATAAACTAAATATTTAGGTGACATTGACCTATGGGCAAAATAAAACATGACTTGTGTTATACTGAATGTCACTAGCATTACACAGCAGTTTTTGTTTTTCTGAGAAGTAGGTGACCCTAGACAGTGTACAGTACCAACAGGGGCAGTGACCTGTACAGTATAAGCACTGTGCAGTAGGTCACGCTCCTTTTTACAGCAATTCTGTTTATATAGCAATTCTGCACTGCTGTATAATGTATTGCCTGGATTTGTAGTCCTCTATAGCTGGTGGTATTTTATACTGCACTGCTATATAATATATTGCTGGGATTTGTAGTCCTCTTTTTGGAAACCAGCAGTGAAATAAACAAAATATTTAGGTGACATTGACCTATGGGCAAAGTTAAACATGACTTGTATTATACGGTTTGTCACTAGTATTACACAGCAGTTTAGGAGTAGGTGACCCTAGACAGTGTACAGTACCAGCAGGGGCAGTCCCCTGTACAGTATAAGCACCGTGCAGTAGGTAAGGGACCAACTAGAGGTCCCCCGGTGGTCTCACCTGGTTCAGGTCCTCATTGGACAAGAGGTGGGACTCCCCGCGTCTATAAACAGTTCTGACATTTGCTCTTGTTGAGATTATTGGTCTGGAACTTCTTAAACGATGCTCATTTGCTGGGGGTGATGCCGGGGTTGTGTGGCAGTGCAGCAGACTTGAAGGACCGCACACACCCATCCCTGGCCAAGGGTGGCTCCACTTTGCTAGCCGCTGCTTCTCTCCAGCACTCACTAAGGTATTGCAAGCTGCCAGATGACAAGCCACAGACTGGGCCAATGCAAGTCTGATGGACAGTACCCCTGACCATTCAGAGTGTGCATTTGCCTCCTCCAACTCTTCCTTTGCCCTCTGCAATGATAAAGACCAGCTTGTGCTGGCAGCAAGGAAGACTGTCACTTTAGGGCCCCTGATGGCAAGGAGGGTTAGGTAGATGTGTGGATTTCCTTTGAGGTCTTTTGACAGCTGTGAGGGAGGTGCCTGATGGAGTCTTTTGCTAGAACTCTTTGATAGGTGTTAGTTGGAGTTGGCCTTTAATTGTCTCCTAACTAAAGTTCATTTAAAACTACGTTTCCATCTAAGACAACTCTATCCACAAGGTAAGTCAGGAAATCACCAGCACTCAGTAGTAAAGATAAATATGTCCCTTTTATAGGACAGAAAGCATCACAGACATCCATGTCACGTCACATCTTTCTGCCTTGAGGAAGGGAACCTGCGCGGCCCTGAAACGTCGGTTTATTTGGATGTCTGTGACGCTTTCTGTCCAATAAAAGGGACATATTTATCTTTACTATTGAGTGCTGGTGATTTCCTGACTTTCCTGTGTTTGCACGGCGCCATCCGTGGTAATTCATCACTGCGAGCACCACTTTTGTTTAAATCTGGCCGGGACTGCTGTGAGGAGTGCGGAGGGTCTCTCCATCTACTTACATCTATCCACAAGGTGACAATGCTGCTGCTTGGTTTCACTGCAGAATAAACATTGATGTCACAATGTTAAAGGAAGTGAGGGAAAAAGCAGATGTAATGGTGGAATCAACAGATAAGGTCAGGCCGGTAAAGGGGCTACTCAGAAAAACTGCTTTGTGAATGCTTATTGACAGACTGCGTGTCATTTTTTATTTTTACCAATAGTCCCACCTTAAGGGTTTTGCTGCATGTTTGGCGTGTTACCAATTCTGCTTTTGTTTTGCTCACAAAGTGCGGTGATCATCTGCAATGTGCATCGTCCTCTCCTCACCCTCCTCACACCTTTTAGAGTAAATTGGTAAAACGATGTACGTATCTTACATTTCATTGAATGACCAAGTATCATTCATGCCCATCTTGATATTCCCAGGACCCTGGCAGTCATTTGGCGTTTAAAAGATCAGCGGCATGCTGTACTCTTGTGCAGGGCCTTCCCTATAATGAGGCTATTGCCTCAAGCTACATCTCTTCAGGTCACATGAGGGGGAGGGGGAGGCAGCAGGCAGAGCGGCATGAGCATCCCGCAGAGTTCCTGTATCCCAGGTTGCTGAGGGCCGGGCGGAGGATATGTAAGGGACCATACACATCTCTGTGCTCAGCTCTTAGCAACCTAGGACACTCTTGCGGCATCCCGCCAAGCTCTGCTTGACCTCCACTACAGCAGCACAGCTTTGCCGAGAAGTTAGCAGTGTGGCCTGGCAGGGGTGCCCATATTATAAGACTGTTTAAGGCAATCACAGGTTGTCTCGTTGACCTGGAATAGGTGTTTAGATCAGGAAACTCAGATTTCCCCATCTGCCTACTTGGTTCAGCAAGTACTAAGCTAACAGGGTCTGTGTTTACCATGCAATTAGCATTTTTCGGAAGAGGTCAATGGTGGCAGCATCTGTCGGGTAGGCAAACTCCAGCTGTAGTGAAACTACAAATCCCATAATGCGTGTGCCGCTGGGAGTCATGCCTGTTGCTGCCAGTCTTCCATTGCCTCATGGGATTTGTAGTAGCACCACAGCTGGAGGGACGGAGTTTGCATAACGCTGCTCTATGTTCTCTGATTGGACCTTTTAATGTTTCTCCCATTGGGCCTACAGCTACCTCCTGAAGTCTCTCGTAGCATTCAGTGCTTAGTCCAAAGCTGGCCATACACATTGAAGGGAATTTATCAAAACTGGAGCAGACACAATCTGGAGCAGCTCTGCATGGCAACCAATCAGCTTCTCTCTTTCATTTTCAAGTCTCAACTGAACAAACTGAAGAGAGGAGCTGATTGGTTGCCATGCACATCTGCGCCACATTGTGTCCGCTCCAGTTTTGATATATTCCCTCCATTAGGTTTCCCATCAACTGCAGGCATCTACCTTACCCACACATTTCAGTTGTCGTCAGACCTTTGCTCCATTATAAATCAGAGTTTGTACCGTCAGATTGTAATGTGCAACCAGAAGCTCCTTACATATAGAATTTATTTATTACATATGTATGGAATTAGTGCTTTGTTTATTGTACTTGCAAACTCAATCCGTAAACCAGTTCAGTAACCCGCCAGTGAGAAATACTTTGATTGGCTGCTATAGTTTGCGGGGTACGGCCCTTTATGGCTCAATTCACTTCTCCGCATGGACTTTATTCACCAGTAAATGTGCATTTCAGTTTATTCTAACTGGAACCCCAGCATGCCTATACAGTGAGAGCAAATGCACCTGCACTACAACGCACACTTGAATAGCCTGTGCGTCTTTGTCTGCTGCATTGCACAAAGATCAGCAGGGACATTTTTTGTGTTGAGGCTTAGGGGGCGTTTACAATAAACAGACTGCCTCAAGCAACCAGTGCATGCAAACACATGCGACTGCGTAGATGTGAATGAGCCTGTTGTGTCTCACCACCGCAAATCATTTAGCCCTCAGACTAGTTAAGGACTTTTGTGCCGTCACTTATCAGACCAACGAATAACTAATCCCAACAGGGCCGTCCCTGTAGGGAGGCAGCTTGAGGATTTTGCCTCAGGCATGATCACTTTGGGTCATGTGGGCTCTGCCTGCTGCCTCCTTTCTGGCCGAGTGTCCCAAGTTGCTAAGAGCTGGGCCGGGAGATGTGTAAGGGCCATGCAGTTCTTGGCAAACTGGGATGCTCTGGCCGGCATCCTGCTCGCCTCCTGGCAACCACTGGTTGCCAGGAGCTGGGCGGGATGATGTTCAGAGCGTCCCGCTCACCTCCCGACAACCACTGGCTGCCAGGAGCTGGGCGGGATGATGTTCAGAGCGTCCCGCTCACCTCCCGACAACCACTGAGGCCACTGGTTGCCAGGAGCTGGGCGGGATGATGTTCAGAGCGTCCCGCTCACCTCCCGACAACCACTGACGTCACTGGCTGCCAGGAGCTGGGCGGGATGATGTTCAGAGCATCCCGCTCACCTCCCGACAACCACTGAAGCCAGCCAAAGCTAGGCGGTGCACCGCCAGACCACCATCAACACCCATCCCCTCCACACTACAGACAGCGATTTGTTTAGGGACACCCCTGACTTCCAAAAAATTGAGATCATACTAAAGACAATAAAACCGTAGGGGCGGCGGTCCTTTTAGTTTTAAGTCAAAGCCAATATTTACATTAACACAAGATAAGAAAAGAAAATGGTGCTTCATGTGAATTAAACTTGAGAAGCTCTTAAAGCGGCCTTATTTGTGTGCTTTGCCCCTCCCCCTTGTAGAGAGCGGTTCCTGGGATGTTCTCATTATTAAATACACTTGTGAATCAAATGTATTTTTTCTGTATATTATGT